CAAGTCCTAATTCCTGGTACCACTGAATGTGAACTTACTTGGGGAAAAAAAAAGTCTTTGCAGGTAATTTGTAATGAAGTTGAGGATATCAAGATGAGATCATCTTGGATTTAGGGAGGGCCCTAAATTTGATGACAGATATCTTTCTGAAAAAGGGAAAGATGGGGCTGGGCACAGTGGTTCACGCCTGTAATCCAAGCACTTTGGGAGGCCAAAGCGGGTGGATCACCTGAGGTCAGGAGTTTGAGACCAGTCTGGCCAAGATGGCAAAACTAATACTCTACTAAAAATACAAAAATTAGCCAGCCATGGTGGCACACGTCTGTAGTGTCAGCTACTCAGGAGGCTAGGGCAGGAAAATCACTTGAACCTGGGAAGCAGAAGTTGCAATGAACCAAGATCTCGCCATTGTACTCCAGCCCGAGTGACAGAGCAAGACTCTGTCTCAAAAAAAAAAAAAAAAAAAAGAAGAAGAAGAAAAGGGAAAGACACAGGGACCCAGAGAGGGGAAGTTCTTATGGAGATGAAGGCAGAGATTGGAGTGATGTTTCTTCAAAACAAGCAACACCAAAGATTGACCACAGCCACTAGAAGCTAAGAGAAAGATCTGGAAGGTATCCTCCCTCAAAGCCTCCAGAGGGAACAAACCCTGCCAACTGATTTCAGACTTCAGGTTTTCAGAAATGTGAGAAAGTAATTTTCTGCTGTTTTAAGCTACCAAATTTGTTACCGCAGGCCTAGGAAACCAACATATCCCCTTAGCCTGATCTTGAAGATCCCTGTTAATCTGGTTTTAACCTACGTTTTCAACATTGTCTCCTGCCAGTATCCTTTACAGCTTCCCCCACTTCTGTATCCTTCCAGTCCCTTGATCATGCAGTGAATATTTGTGCATTTTGTCTTTTCTAATGTGATCCCTTTCCCTTGTCTAAAACTCGTATGTCTTCTCTATTCTTTCAAATCCTAATCCTGAAACGAAAGGCCCATCATAGTCTACAGTGATTTGTTTCCTATTTTGAATGCTTATCAAACAATTTGACATTGAATCATATTTTGTACACACAGTGTTTGGTTTTCTTTTCACATATGTGTGACTTTCCTTGAGGGCAGAATGATTTTTGCAACATAGAAACTGTAGATTAAATGAGTGAAAACAGCAAGCATGGACAGAGAAAGCAGGTGTTTGAGATGAATTATGTCCCCCTTATTTGCAAATTCATATGTTGAAACCTAACTCCCAGTACCTTAAGATGTGACTGTATTTGGAGATCTTTAATGTGACCCTTTAAAGAGAAAATTAAGGTGAAATGAGGCCATAGGTGTGGGCCCTAATCCAATTTGATTGGTGTCCTTATGAAGGAGAGCTTAGGATACACAGGGACAGACAGTAGGGGTGCACATGCACACAGAGGGACAACCATACCATGGGCAGAGGCAGCAGAGGGCAGCCAGCTGCAAGTGCAGGAAGGAGGTTTGGAAAGAACATTCCTTTAGGACTCTCAGAGGAAACCAACTCTGCCAGCAGCCTGATCTTGGACTTCTAGCCTTCAGAACTGTGAGAAATTACATTTTGGTTGTTTAGACCACCCAGTCTGTGCTATTTTGTTACGGCAATGCTAGAAAACTAATGCAGCAAGTAAGAGGCTTAGATTAGGCACTGAAAAAATAAGAGAGGAGGCCGAGGTAAGAGGATTGCTTGAAGCCAGCAATGTGAGACCAGTCTAGGCAACATAATGAGAACTCTGCAAAAATAAAAAATAAAAAAAATTAGCCAGGAGTGGTGATGTGTAGTTTTAGTTCTAGTTACTCAGAAGGCTGAGGTAGAAGATTGCTTGAGCCCAGGATTTCAAGGTTGTGGTGAGCTATGTTTGTACCACTGCACTCCAGCCTGGGTGACAGGGTGAAAACTTGTCTCAGAATAAAATAAAATTTTAAAAAAGGGAGAAATAAGACTAACATATTTTCTACCTGAATTGATGACATTATCTTCTCTCAAGTACCAGCCATAATCCTAAAATGGTAAACTATTTGACAGAGCCCTTAGTAAAGACCAGTGACTTCTGGGTTCATTATACAAGCAGTATCACTTTAGTATAAATTTCAAAGAGATCTGAGCGTGGAACTGGGACCTGGCCTCTACCACTCTTTATCTTTTTCTAGACTGTTACTATTGTCTAACCTATAGTCAGGAAGTTAGTTGATAGTCTTATGAGTTAATTTGCTAATCTAAAATTGTAAAAGGGTTAGTCATGGGGTTTAAGCCTATGCATTTTCTAGGATTAGTTATAAGAGTACAAGGATTAGTAGGTCTATTGTGTTGTTGCTTGGCAAAAATCGGGACATCGGTTATTTTATTTTTTATATATTTTTGCAAAGCTCAGAGCAGTTTGTGCTTTCTCTTCCTTATTCTTTTGCCACCCATAACCGTCAATGCTTAGAGAAAAAGATGCATTAGAATTGATTCCGTGTTATGCAAATTAAATTTGGAATCTTAGGCTCCCAAATTGGGAGGTAATTTTTAAAGGTTCCTTGACAGAATGTAGTACGTCCAGCAGAAGGCATCAAAAAATGGTGAGAACCTTACACACTGAGATACCTGAGGGTAGCTGAAGGAGCAGACATCTCATCAGAAATACATGGAGGGCTCTCTATTGTATGAAAATATTAGCTTGTTCTCCATGGCTCTTGAGGTAAGAGTCGGGCCTAAAAGATGGATCTTGCTGATTTCATTTCAACATTGAATGCTGATTTCATTTCAGCATTAAAACTTCCACTATGTAGTTTAATCTCTTAAGGACCAGAAGTAATGATGAGTAGAGGCCTATTGAGTGGTGACTGATGTAGCCTAGTGGTTAAGAGCCTTTTAGAGTCCCAGCTTTACTACTTATTAGTTCTGTGACTTAGTCAAGGCACTTAACTTTCCTTAGCTTTGGCATCCCCATCAAAATGGGGTTACTGCTTGTGCCTACCTCATTTTGAGTATTAGATAAAATAACGCATGTAAACTGATGAGGAAGCTGATCCTGAGCTGGGTGGTTTCATGTATTTAGTCACAAATTTCATCAATGCTTGTGCCCAGTTTTAAGTCCCAGCTTGTTTAACTTTATTATGCCACTTTGTTTCCAAATTTCCTTCACATAAATAAAGGGGAAAAAATATAAATGGGATGGCTGAGGTGAGTACATTGAAAGGGAAAGGAGTTAATCTCACTGTTTAAGTTTAGCCACACAGTTAATGAAATGGCCTTATCAATGAAGTTATCCTGTTTAAACGCCAAAAGGAGCAATTTCTTCTCCATCATCCCAAATTCCCACCTTCTCTGCCTCCTCTCTTCATTACTCTTTAGTCACTAGCAGGCTAGGTAGGGTGTTCCTAATCTGCAATTGGAATGTTTCTGGTAGGAGCCATTTCTCACCTACTCTTTGTCCTCTTCTATCACTTAAAATCCTGGAAGGCTGTTCTGAAAGCAGCTGGGCTTTCAAAACTGGGCTCATTGTAACATTAAAAAATTATTAAACTCAGAAACTAATTCTGTTTTTTAATCATAAAATATGAAAACTAGGAAGCAAACTGGAAGAATGAAAGACCAAGTCAGCTGGATCTGAAGCGGGCCATTCTCAGGAAGACTACTGAGGAATAATTAAGGCTAATTTGAAGTATCACCTCCTGGGTATCACCATCATCATCCCCAGGTACCTGAGATAGTTCACTTTGAAATAGATACACCTGAAATTATGTTAAAATGTACTAAGCACTTATTGAGCTCAGCAATCCTGAAATATGCCTAATAGTAAGCTGCCTAGTTGCCACTTATTAACTAGGTTTATGTCTAGGAGGGACTGTGAAGAATAAGAGCTGTTTAATTAGGGGTACTTGTCATCACTAATGAACAACAAGAAATAGTTTTAAAACTTCTTTGAGATATTCACTTGCAAATGTCACCCGAGTTTCAGAAAAGTACAGTCTCTGGAGTAAATCTCCTATACACTCAGAGAGACTCTGTTGTGCTTTGCATGCGTTATATCATTTAGTCCTCAAAACATGTTGGCAAGGTTTGCATTATTATCTCCATTTTAAAGATGAGAAAATTAGGTGCAAAGAGCTTCAGTAACACACTCAAACTCATTCAACAATAAATAACTAAAAATTGTGCTATACACACTTTAAGAGTCACATGTTCCTCCCCCAAAATTATGAAAGGCCATAGAACAAATTCAAGAAGTAGGCTTCATGACATATCGTTTCTTCTCATCTCAGATGGATTCACTTTAATCTATCATGCCCACATTGTAAAATATCATTTTGATCACCGTCAATATTACACAGACCTGTTTCAATGTGCTCAGGTTTTTCAGTAAAATTAGAAGAAACCACATTTTACAAACAGGTATATGTGCATTAAGAAAAAAAAAAAAACTACCATGTGATTTTATATATGGATGCCAATTCTTAAACATTATTTATTATTTCTGAGCTCTAGTGCTTAGAATGTTTAAAATGCAATATATTTATGTGGATTTTTTCCAGGATATTGGAACATACATAAAATATGCTCGTGCATATCTAAGCTTTGTATTTATTTCAGGTTATATGTATACTGAGAAGAATATATAAACAGTGTATGATAGTTACATCTTATTTCATTTTTTGAGGGAAATTAACCTCCATAATTATTAACTATGCATAAAATGTAATGGCAGATATGACTTATATTGTATAGGACTGACTGCAATTCCTCTTTAGAAATAGTTGTTCTTTGCTTTTATAATACTAGGAAAAGAGGAGAAGAGTTCTTAAAGAAATACAAGGATTCCTCAAGCCCCTCTTCCCTAAAACATGCTCTATCATATCTCCTGGATTGACTGGAATATCCTTCTCTGCCCCCACCCCATTACCCTCTCAATGCAGTGGAAAAGTCGGTGGGTAATTGGGTCCAGATTGGAGGTGTTTAAATATTCATGAGGCTGGCAGGGGACTGGGAGGGGGTGACTGTCTAGAATGGGGGTAGGGGCTGGGGGAAGTGATTAGTCACTGAAGGCTAGCGAACAATTCCCAGAAAGAGACGGAGAGAGAGGGAAGAAAAAGACAGACAGACAGATACTGGGGGGGAGGAGAAAAAAGGAGAAGAGAGGGAAGAGAAGAGAGGACAGCGGAGAGAGAGCACCAGAGAGAGAGCGCGTGCTAGAGAGAGAGAGCGAGCATGTGCGATGAGCAATAGCTGTGGACCTTACAGTTGCTGCTAACTGCCCTGGTGTGTGTGAGGGAGAGAGAGGGAGGGAGGGAGAGAGAGCGCGCTAGCGCGAGAGAGCGAGTGAGCAAGCGAGCAGAAAAGAGGTGGAGAGGGGGGGAATAAGAAAGAGAGAGAAGGAAAGGAGAGAAGGCAGGAAGAAGGCAAGGGACGAGACAACCATGCTGTGCTGTATGAGAAGAACCAAACAGGTAGAGCTAAAGATTTTTACTTCTTGCTGTTGTGGAATAACCAGAGTACGGTATTTCCCTGTAAAGGCAAACAATTTTTTTACTGCTTCTGCTCTGGCCATGGTGCTCGCGCTTCCTTAGCATATGGTAACTGATGGTTGCATCCCAGCTTTTATTCTTTTCTGTCTTTCATGCTCCGGTTTTGGAATGCTGCTACTAATTAGGGTGAGGGTAGAAAAAACATGCCTGTTTGGCTAGAAATTTTTTTTTTTTTTTTTTTTTGCTTATTAGTGAATGCTCAGCGTTTGAGGTCTCTGGTCTTGAGGGTGTGGACGTAGAAAGGGGTGTGGGGGAGATTATGTGGGCTCTACCTACAAGATGGGGAGGCAATTCTTTATATTATTTGCAAAAAGCAGGGTTGAGGAAATAATATGCAGGACTGAGTATTACCTCTCTGTCATACAATTTTCTCACATGTGCTGCAGAAGATGCCTTATTTCGTACATGCATGAGCTTCGAAGGGGCACAGGTATTTATGGAAAAACGTGCAGGTCTTATTTGTTTATTTATTTATTTTTCAATGAATGAATGAAACTATGATTTGATAGATTTTTTTTTTTTTTTAAGAGAAGCTAAGACAACTGGGGCTGGGGGAGAAATTGGCCATGCAGAAGGGGAAAATCCCCTTCCTTAAGATCAGCAGCCGATTGTGCACCAGCTGGTCGGAGGAGAGGGTGGACCACGCCCCTAGGAGCTCGGATGGGATGGGAAAGACAGCCGGGTGTTACCTGTTGGAAACCAGGTCTTGTCTCTTCTCCCCTTCCCTTGCTTCTTTCCTGGGATTGTCAGTGACCAGAGACAGGCTAACATCCTGGATAATAAGTATGGTGACTCATTTTCATCAGGAAGAGGGACACATCCAAGATTAGGAAGAATCAGAGCCCCTCCTTCCCTCCCCCACTGCCCAGGTTTTACAGCCATTTCAATTGCTCGCTTATTTCTTGAAAGACATTTTAGAAACTTGACTGGGGTGAGAGTGGGAAGGAATGACGAGTGTGGTATTCTGCAGCAACCGACCATGCCATGACAGTCTCCAAAAGAAGCTTTCAAACATTTGTTGGAATGCATTTGAGTGATTTTGGCGAAGGTTAAGGAGAAAAATGGGTGTGGGATATGGGTGAGTGTGTGCGTGTGCTTGACTGGGGTGGGGGTGGGGGTGTGGTGGGAGCAATCTTGGTCAAAGAAGCCCTTTGCAGACTGATTGCCTTAGGGGTGGGGTGCAAGAGATGGAATTTGGGTATAATTTCCAGTGCAGGTATTGGAAATTGGGCAATTTGTAATACTCTCTGAATCCGAAGGGGGTGGAAGAGAGTGGAGAAGAAACAGCCTGCCAGCTTAGCACATTTAGCCAGCGCCCTGGAAGGAAGGGTGGGGAGTGAGGATGAAGGAGAAGGAGCAGGAAGAGGAAGGGAGACTGAAGCAGAATGAGCAGAATGTCAGAGCAATGGGAGTAGAGGTTTGGCATAAATAAATAAATAAAGTAGCAGACATCCTGGATTGTGTGGGGCTATTTGGGGGAAACGTCAGATAGTGGGGGATTGAGTGGGGGGCAGTATTTGCAGCATCTCCTGAAACTGCCCTATGGTTACAGAGATTGATGCTTCCATTGGCTCATTTTATCAAACCAGGGCATTTTCTCTCCGTGTCCCCCTTCATTTTAATATATAAATGTAATAAATACAGGTGTCTGGGTTAAGAACACTGTCAAAGAAAAGTCCTGAGGTTATTTCACTGGTAAGCTGAGGAAATAAAATTTAGGAAGGTAGAGCACTAAGTAAGCCAAAGCTATCCACTTAAAAAGCTTTGATTTTGGAAAGAAAAATATTCAGGTTCAAAATTTGTTCTCACCCTATGTGTATGCATGCGAGTATACATACATCTCCTTTAATAAAGGAAATCATGTATGATTTTTAGAAAAGGAATTAGAGTTAAAGGAATTCCCTTCCCAAAATGAAGACAACTGCCTTCCCTGGGCTCTATTTCAGCAACAGCCTCAAGCATTTACTCTGATGTGCAAAGTGATGAAGATAAAATTGTGTGTTTAGAGTTGCAGAAATTCTCATGTAAATGCATACAGCATCCACATACTTCATATGCTACAGTTGCATGTGTAAGTGTGGTTTCCACATGCCTCCCTGTGTTTTAGCATCATTTATATTCAAGAGAAAATTAAAGGTATAGAAATTGTCCTGTTTTGCTCATGCATTTTATAAATGTGTACTTCTGTGTGAAATGCTCATGTCTCTTATATACCACTGTTGTGTATCATTCACATTAGCCAGTATTTAGGATACCATTCAATCAGACTACAGGAAATGGTGTATTCAGGGCGTGGGCTCACACTACACTCACTGGCATTTATGTAGCATGAGTACTTAAGTCTCACGCAGGTTGCCTGCTTGTGGATGAAACTCTATATCATTTATGACAAAATCCAGTGGTGTCCATCCTTCTGCTGGCATCTATTCATCATCTTAGTACTTAACAGGGAATAAAACAAGGGCAAAAACCTGCAAAGGTCTAAGCTCTGCCACACCCATAAAATCCAGCAGAAACGTGGGAGGGGGCTGAAGGGCTTGCACTTCCTTCCTCTTCCACTTGAGCGGCATAAAGAAGCAACCTTGGATTTCTAAGTTGGAATACATTGCCAGTGGGTGAGAAGAAAGCATAAATGATCTATATTAGCCATTAGTTATCACTATAGATTATTATAGCAGGAAGAAGAGAATAAGAATGGGGTAGAGACGAGAATATGGTAAAGGAGTGGGCAAAGGAGGAATAAAATAAAAGAATCCCTAAGATTGTATTGCCTTATGATATTCAAATATCTTGGGGTTTACTTTAAATAGCTTAATTGCCACGTGTATTGCAGATGATTAAAAACTTGGCAAGGTGTGAGCTATGTCTACAAAGCAAGAAGACTATGAGGTGTTTCTTTTGTTGAAAAATAATGACTTTAGTTTGTAATTGAAGTGTAAAGAATTTCATGCAAGCAAGTAGTCCCTCTACTCCCCAGCCCCCTATCCATGCCAACATCTGCTTTTTCCCTTATGCAACAAATAAATCTTATCTCTGAGAGTGTGATCTGTGGTTTAGAATTCCGACCTCTCTGTGCCTTTTCCTTGCAGTGTTGGGAAGGTATGGAAGGATGCTGCCTTGCTGCTTGGTGCAGGCGATTCTTCCTAGTGATAAATTGGATTCCTCCCAAATCTCTCTGAGCCACACCCAGTGTCACCCAGGGACTTAGTGAATTAATTAAACTGAACCATTTTATTTAATATAATTGAAGCTTCTTGTTCTTTTTTTTTTTTAATAGTGATTTTCACCACAGGTTTCCAAATTTAAACAGAAAAAACATTTGAAGGGCATTTCCTTTCTTTCTGTCTGTCTCTCTCTTTCTTTCTTTCTTCTTCTTCTTCTTTTTTTTTTTTTTTTTTTGCCAAATTATCTGGACTTGCAGAGAACCTTAGAAAATTCATGGTGAGTCTAGAAAGTGTTCATTTCTGGTGACTCTATAATTCCTTCTAACCCAGGCCAGGGTGCATACACAATGAGCCCTGATCTCTCCTGCTGACAGTCTGTGTGACTCTCTTTCCCCACCCCCTCCCCTACCAACCCATGCTGAGGCAACTGGAATAAGAAAATGCAGAGTTAATTTTCTTTCTTGCTGAGCTGGCAAAACTACAGAACCCTCCTTTGATGTTTCACGCTAAAGGGCAGTACTCCTGTTCACTGAGAGGGAGAGTGGTTTGGGGTCTCCTTTGCCTCTGTCAGTGAAATTGCCAGTGTTATGCCTGGGGCTGAATTAATCCACAGACTTCAGACTTTTACCTGGCCCCATGAGGAAGGGTACTGGTGTTCTTTCAGGCAAGAATAGAGCATACATATTAACCAATCATATTGATAAAGTAAGACAAGTCTTCTTCTATTAATAGTTCAAAGAATGCACATAACCAGGTCATCTCAAGAGAAGGTACAGCAGCATTTAACTATTCACTTCCCTATTAGTATTAATAAAGGCATTAGGGCAACCAAGCAGTGGCTGTTGCAAACCAAAGAAGTGATTTCATGCAGGAATTCTCCCTTTTGAATTTCTGAAGTTGCTTTTGTACCTTTGTAATAAATCTTCATAACATTTTCAGAAGTGTTGGGAAGAATATTATACTGTGAATCCTTAGTGGAAGCCACTTACTGACTGTGATTTGAATGAATCACATCACCTTGGGCTTCAGTTTCCTTCTGTAAAATGAAGAGTAAAAATCAAAAACCAAACACACATGAACACCTTGCTTACCTTAAGGATTTTTGTAGGGCTTAAACATACTTGATGTGAAAACAAAGATCAATATAAGAAATTTTTTTCTCCCCAAGTTTTGCAGTGTGAGGCTTGTCTTAGCGCCCCCAGCTTTGCAGGATGATCCAGTGCCTGCTATGTCTACTTTTCTCTGTTAGAGATGAGTTCCTTCTAGTCTTAGTTGAGCCTTCTGCTTGTGCTGCTGCTCCTTCCCGCGCCGTGTTTTCCCTAGAACCCCACTCCTTCATGCCCTGCTCTCTCTTGAGATTTCATCTTCTCGTGCTGCACTGGCTCCTTTCCTTATAGCTTATGAATATGCTTCTGCCTCATCTATTAAAAGATCCCCTCCTGACTCTATGTCCCCATCTCTATAGTGCTCTCACTCTCCCTTTAGAACAAAGTTCCAAGTACTCTCCACCCTCAGTTTCTCCTCTTGTTCACTCCCCATTCACTATTCCTTCTAGTTTAATTTGGCTTTGGTTTTCATAATTTCACTGAAAAACATATTCTGAAAGGATGCCACATCCAGTGACCCTTCATTGCACATCTTATTTAATGTCTCTTTGGCATTTTGTGTTGTTGGCCATCCTTCTTCCTGAAACTGTCCCCTTACTGGGCCTGCATGATATGAATAGCTCTCCTTATTCTCCCTCTCAGATAAGACCCT